ACCAGTTCAAGTGGCGAGAAGCAATCTTCATAAAGAACCGACCCGGGTTCCCGTACAACCGTCTTTCCCGCCAGATCCAGCTAGAATTGGTGGATGGATGAAGCTTTGGATTCGTATTCAATTGGATGGCTCGTAAAACTTTGCATTAATTGGTATCCAGAGAACATAGACTAGATATCCCTGGCTTAAGTGCTAATTCAATGTCTTCGCAATAGGTCTATGGAGCAAATCTTGTCCCCAGCTTCAATACTGCCAACCCAAATTACCTGGCCTAATACCTTTTTCGGCAGAGATGAAAGACAGCCACGACATGCTTATTCGTCAATCCGATCGCGAAGAACAATAGTAGTCGCAGAGGCCGACTACGTGGCTTTGAACTGTGGAAGCCCGAAATTCCCTCCTAGTTATCTTAATAAGAGTAAGAAGTCTAGAAACATATAAACATCGTCCATACGGACAGCTTAAAATAGACCAGGTCTCGGCTCGTGATAATGCTGGATAAGGCGATCCAGTTTCAGCCCTGTACTTGGTATAGCTTTATTTGTGCTAATGCGTAATGGCTCCCTTGATCGCTCGAGAGCAGGATATTAGAATTTGTATCACCTGAAAAATAATGAACAGATAGAATTTATCATGACATACACTTTCCCATTGAATCTCTCAAACATCTTATTTCCGGCATATGCTTTGATTGGCTGAAAGTCATATCTCTCTCGACTGGTATGGCTTCGTCAGCAGTAGAATCCCATACAAATTGCTAAGCATTAGGGGTAATAAGAAGCAGTTCTGCTCATACAGTCTTTCCATCAAATGGCTAGTCCCGGAACGTCGATCATCGCAGGCAAGTATATCTCGGCATGGAATAGTATTCAGTCTACTGGCCAGACAATCGGTTAAATTATAAGTTGTAAGAATTAGTATATATATATATATATATATATATTTTTAGTACTAATAACTTGCGATATAGCTTCTTTAGTATATAACCAACGGATACGGACGTAAGATTATTTTATATATTATTTTTTTTATCTTTATAATTATATATATCCTGTTCTCTTCTGTGTTTGTAAGTCGCCTGCTGAAAGATATTAATATAAAATATAATAATTAAATTTTTCGCGATATACTAAGACTACTGGCTAGTAGCCAAGCTTTTCTTCGGTATAGGAATAAAATTACTGTAGTTAACTATATTTTTTTATTTATCTAAGATAGCGCCGACTCAGCTGCAAGAATTTTTTATTAATATATATAATTTATATATACCTGTAGTTTTATTTCTTTCTGTTAATTTTTTAACTAATTGTATAAATAATAATTACTGGTTTATTATCAGGCAATTCTTCGCCTCAGTTATTCTAAACTGTCTTTATTCTACTAATTTCTATAATTTTCGAACACCAATCTACTTTTAGATTTATATTATAAACTAATTCTATAGATCGACTGTACTAACTATAAATAGTAGGCAATAATTAGGATTGCAGGTATTATTTTTGTATTTCTTCCGGAGTTACTATAGTAGCTGGTGAAAAAAACCGGCCGGAGAAAATAGTATAAGTACTGCGCTTTTACTGCGGCTGTATCCAGAACTATAATATAAACCAGCAGATCGGTATTATAACCGCGACCATCACAGAAGAACGGCGGCTCGCCGAACGCAACCGCAGCTAAGGGGCCTGGGCCGTGTTCCAGAAACATGCGGAACTCGTATAGAATAGACACCAATACTACTTAGTCGCTGTTAACATGCCGTTCAGTTGCCTCACGGGATAATTCCTTCTAAGTATATCGAGTGGCGACGAAATAGCAGCCATTTTGCCTTCAACTCTTCAGCCCCAATTAACGTCAGTTGGCGGAGGGTTGCTGTCTGACGGAAGGCCAGATGATGACATTTCCGCCGACACCGTGGACAGAATTCCGTCACCAGCACATACACGCCACGCCTGTGCAATTCTCCAAGAAGAATTATCAACAGAATTTCTTGTTACCTCCATACTTATACTCTCAATGTAGTGACAGTCAGGTTGGGAATCTCGACATGTCAAAAGTGAAATGAATTGATCGGAGTGAGTCCAGGGCTGGATGCGGGGCAGCGCAGTGGGAGGACTTTAGTCCATCTCCAAACCCTAAAACTACTTACTCTGTGGAATTCGGCAGTACAGCCATTCGTGTTCCGGGCAGTACGATGCAAACGGAATTTGGCTGCAGTCTGTGGCATCGCGCATCTCGCCCTCAATTCAAAAGGCCAACAGTGAGGTCAGTGCTTTTCAGGCCCCGAGCGACGTCGACGTTCGTTGACCATGGTAAATGTACAGACATAGCCATTGATTTAAATCGTCGGGCTCCAATTATCCTTTCCAGCCGTCAGCCACTGGCCGTTAATACGACTCCGGAGACAGAGTCTAGTTCGGGGTTTTATCGTATTCGGACGCCATTGCGATCGTGTTGAAAGCTTGTCCATAAGTGCAAGATAGCCAGAGACATGGCTACATGGCGCCGTTGACGAAATGACAATGATGGTATGCCCAGCAGCCGTGCAGAGGGGCCACATAAATTGAAATTTCCCCGGACTGCCCTACCAGAACCTCTGCCATGGTAAAACACAGTAATTCATTCCATTTGTTGGGGCACCACCATCGCACCTCGATCTAGAGTAGCAGCATATCACAACAAGTACAAATTCAGAAGAGGAGACGGAAGCCATGGCATCACTCCTGGATGAATTTCGCCAGTCTGCAGTCCCAGCTGGAACCGCCGACTGGACAACTCCACACAATGTACGTGGACAAGATCCGGTCTGCATTGCCACACGGGCCAGACACAAAAGGACATCTGACGATCCTGGTCGGCGCGGGGGCTTCAATCGGTGCCGTTCAAGCGAGTGAGCTCACCACCAGCGTCAGCGAGACCGACAAACAGAAGACCCTAAGCGGACTGAGCTGGGCGGGGCTTCTCCTTGATGGCCACCTCTTATGTCATGAACAATCATGACCTAATCTTCGCCGGTTTCAGAGCAAAAAGCACACAAGCTGGTCGAGGTGCTCAAATATCTCCCCTTGGCGATCGAGCAGGCGGGTTGTTACATTCGAGCCGCGGGTAGGTCGATTCAGGACTCTATGAAGACAAGGACGAAGGCATGAAGCCTGTGCTGTGGGCATATCGCGTAGCGGACACCAATGTCCTCCCCATACTTTCCACCTTCCGAATGTCTTACCAGAGCCTGTCCTCAGATGCGCAAATTCTGCTCAAAATTCTCGCTTTGATCGGCCCCGGAGGTGTCAGCGACGATTTCTTACAACGGCCTGCGAACACGTACCCACTGAAAAGTTCGCTGGAAAGCTATTTGGTCCATGACTACCCCGACACCCCCTTACCGCAGGACCTTTCTTCTCTCCTGAGCAGATCCCATCGTCGTGAGGTTGCCATCGATTCTCTGGTGGAAGTCGCCCTGCTGCAGCGGGTCGATACCAGACTGATAATGCACCCTGTAGGACATCAATTCTAAGGACGTGTGTTTGACCGGAGCTGACCATCGCCCAGATGCACTTGGAATGGCTCAAAGCGACCTGTTTGGAGCTGGCTCGGGACAACCTCTCTCTTTTTGTCTTGACCATGATTGCGAACTTTTTTGCGAGTATGACCGATCGGGAATTTGTCCTCCGGAGTAGCTACGTATATTAAGCCCGGACATGCATCGAGATCCTCTCCAAGTCTTACACCGAGACACCCGATGAAGTGACACTGGCCAGGTTGTGCTTCTATGTGGGCCGAGTCTTCCGGCTCGTCCGGGACGACGTGGCGGCTACTTATTTGTATGAACGCGCCCTGGCAGGAAGTCTTGCGCCGTTGCAACAACCCCACATCTTGACCTTCTGGACTCGAAAGAATCTTGATTTGATTTATATGGAGCACGGTTTTTTCGAGAGCGCCTATAGACAATTGGAAGACGCGTCAAGCCTCCTGCCTGGGGGCTTGAGAAAGGACCCATTTGTCGGACGTTTTGTCACGCATTCGTGGAATGGTACGTATAATCGATCTGTTGCGCCTCGTAAGTAGTCATGAAGTACGGAATATTCGGGGCACTGACCATGGACCACCAGGTTTGATAGAACCTACCTCCGCGAAAGGCCTTGCAGCGCTTGTAGACGAGCTCATCCACCGTGGCACATTTCTCGGGGAGCTCACACCCTTGTGGAACCATTGCCAAAGGTCGAGCTCATCTTTCCGGACAGGCTCGGCCCCAGTAGCAGACTACGAGTCAGAAGAGGCCATTGATGCCTCCTACTTTTACATGATATTCATCCTGGCAAGTTTGCTTTTAGGACAAAGTCATCGCGCACTGGAAATCTTTTGTGAGGTGAATGAAAGGATGAGCACGTTCCAGCGACCTAACCGGGTGCTGCATCCGGAAGACGTTTGAGCTGCAGCAGACGGCCGAGGTCTGCAAGAACAGCCAGTCGCTACTGAGCAAGCTCCAGGATGTGTGCCAGGTCGAGAAGATCTAGCTGCAAGAGCCGCACCGAGAAGATTTGAAGTTGACACGAGAGGTCATCAATCCTGTACTCAATGTAGCGATGAGCCAACGATGATTCCTGCCCTGTTGACTCAATCGTGTAGGCTAGTGGGCTTCTGTGATTCCTCGGATGCTCATGACACCGCATGTAACTTAGCAAGGGAGTCAGATGTCGGTCACTATTTTCACTTTCAAGTTCAGCAGCTGGTGTGGGGCTAGACTAATGCTCTGGTGCGTAGAGCAGAGCCGCCAGTGAGTGGAGCACGTAAGCACTAAAGCAGCCCACACCAAATGGATATTCGACTTTGTTGTAACAACTTAGCCTGTTGCAGGGGTGCCATTTGCTCAGCCTCGTGAAAGTGTGTTCCAGTTTCTTGCTAGAAATGAAACGTTGGCCCGCTCATATATGACCTGTCATCTTTCACCGGCCCACCCCTCCTACTCCTCGGACACCTTGTGACAACTTCACTTCAGCACCAGGATGTTTCTCAATCCTATCTTGTCAATGGTCCTCGAGACCGTCGTAGTGGTATCTACACTCGGCTTCACCCCGGCTCAATCAGCCCTACGGCCCGGAGCACTTGCGCTTCTGTCACTATGTGTAAGCCATTGCCTCTCAACGACGCTCGAATACTTTGTGCGCACACCCTGGGCGCTTCTAGCAGGCGGTTACTCTGTTATGCTGCTGTTTCACTTTGCCGACGTTGGTCTGCTGACGCGTTGGGAATTCCCTGGGCCCAGTCGTGTCAACAAGCCCACGGAATCAAAGCGCAGGGGCTCCCGAGGAATGTCGGACTCGACCTGGGCGGCCCGGCTACGATACGGCATCTGGGCATGTTTCAACGCGCGATGCATTGGGACCCCTGAGCAAGCGCGCAACATCCCCCAGCCACGTTATCAAGACCGAGAGTCATTCCTCCGCGGAGCCTTCAGTTTCATGATCCTCGGCTATATCGGCCTCGATGTGCTCGGGTCAATGAGCGATCCGGAGGTGGGATCTCGTTTTCTAGTCGCGTCCCGAGTGCCGTTCTTTCGTCGCTTGTCGGAAGTCACTGTGGAAGAGATAGTCATTCGCGTATTCTCCGCGGCTGCTTCAGGCGTCGGCCTAGTGTGCAGTCAGGGCGGATTCTATAATCTCTTCGCATTTGTCAGCGTGTTCATGCGATGGGGCGAGCCACAAGACTGGCCTCCCTTCTGCGGATCTGTAATGGAGGCCTATAGCCTTCGACGACTCTGGAGGTAAGATACCCCATGTCTCCACGGTCACAATGGGCAACCAACTGATTCAGGATCTAGTCGCGTCTGGCACCAGTCCAACACACACAAATTCCGCGCGATCGCCCGATTTGTGGCGGAGGATGTTCTTGACCTGTCGCCAAAGACGCTTGTGCACCGATATGCGCAGATTCTGATAGTATTTGGGACTTCGGCTCTGATGCACTTTCTCATCAATGTGTCGATGGGGCTGTCGTTCTCTACCTCCGGGGCGGTGCAGTTTTTCTGTACCCAGGCATTCGGCCTCATGGGAGAGGATTTGGCAGTCCGTGTTTATGTCGGTCTGCGCGGCTCTTCTCGTAGTCGATTGGCGTTGCGGGGAGAGCGCATTGTTGGCTTTCTCTGGGTTGGATGCTTCCTGGCTTGGTCGCTTCCTGCGTATGTTTATCCGGTGCTGTATCGGTCTAACATGGGCCTCAATGGTTCGGTGGTTCCAGTGAGCATTGTTGGCTTAATAAAAAGGATGATGCTTGGGTAGATATGACTGTAATGACCGGTGATAATGATGCGAGAACGAGTGCTGTTTCGGATAAGATGTGAATGGTGAAGAAGGTGGGAAGAGAAGGGATTCTCCGCACGGCGACAATGCGGGGAAGGCGCAGAAGCAAACAAAGCAAACCGCACAAATCAGGCAAAATGTATTCCGCCGATTGCGATAATCTTCCCCGACACATCGCTGAAGCATCGTTGACGTTCTCTCTCGTCGCAATAAACCTCTTGATGACATACGCCAGAGTTCGCCCCAGTAAACACAGCGTCTTATCTGTCTTCAGGGCTCCAGCGCCATTTCTGTCCCGCGATCCGCTTTGCATAATCCCGAGCGGGGCTCGCATCGTAGCCATGTCGACCTCGACATCAACGCCCCCGCGCAAACCAATACCCTCTGCATTGACCTTTGATCTACACGCCAAGTGCTCCGTCAGTACTCGGCCCTGTCTCTCGGCGATGAATGCGATGGAATGGCTTCATGCTCATCTCATATCTCTTATAGACAACGAAAGCACGCGCGAGCACGCTCCACCTCCCCCATGGCGACGTCCCTCTCCCCATCTTCATGCCTGTCGCGACCCAAGCCTCCCTGAAGGGCTTGACGTACGATCAACTCCGCCAGACCGGCTGCCAACTCTGTCTGAACAACACCTACCACCTTGGCCTCAAGCCAGGCCAGGCGGTTCTCGATGCGATCGGTGGTGCGCACAAGTTGCAGGGGTGGGATCGAAATATCCTCACGGACAGCGGAGGGTGAGCATACGTTTGCGAGCTCGATGGACTGGTTCTGACAAGAGGCTTGTAGTTTCCAGATGGTGTCCCTCCTCAAACTCGCCCAAGTCACCGAGGAAGGCGTCCGCTTCCTCAGTCCCCATGATGGCACTCCGATGTGCGTGTTCCCCACTTACAAAACCGATGCATATCTGACAGGACCAGGCTCCTCACTCCCGAACACTCGATCTCCCTACAAAACTCCATCGGCTCCGACATCATCATGCAATTAGACGACGTCATCGCCACCACATCCCCGGATCACGCCCGTATCCACGAAGCGATGGAGCGCTCGGTCAGATGGCTGGACCGGTGCATCGACGCGCACAAATACCCGGAGAGACAAAATCTGTTCTGTATCATCCAGGGTGGGTTGGATCTGGAGCTTCGCAAGCAATGCTGTGAAGCGATGGTCGCTCGAGATACACCGGGCATTGCCATCGGGGGTCTTTCCGGCGGAGAGGCCAAGGAGGACTTTTGCAAGGTGTATGTGTTTGACTGCCAAAAGAGAGGCGAAAGCTGATGAGTACAGGGTGGACACTTGCACGGGCTTGCTTCCCGAGAAGAAGCCGCGCTATGTTATGGGAGTGGTAGGCAGCAGTGTTTCTAGTTATTAACTACTGGAGACTGACGATCGACAGGGCTATCCGGAGGATTTGATTGTTGGTGTCGCTCTCGGCGCAGACATGTTTGATTGTGTCTGGCCTACACGAACTGCGGTAGGTCTCCTGTCTGCGTTGAATCAACAGTAACTAACATGGACCAGCGCTTCGGCAACGCGGTCGTCCCCAGCGGCACATTGAATCTGCGTCATCGGTCGTACGCGGAGGATTTCCGGCCGGTGCAAGAAGGCTGTACATGCAGCATCTGCCGGCCGCGGGATCAGGGCGGACTCGGGATCACGCGTGCATACATCCACCACCTGACAGCCAAAGAAACTGTGGGGGCTCATCTGTAGGTTGCTTGTCTCTGACAATTGAAACAGGGATACTAACGGTACCAGTCTCACCATGCACAATGTGCATTACCTACTGTCCCTGATGGGATCCGCTCGGCAGGCTATCCTCGAGGATCGGTTCCCGACGTTCCTGCGCGAATTCTTCGCCAATCTATATGGTGAGAAGTCGAACTATCCCAGCTGGGTGGTAGACGCGCTGCGGGGCGTAGGGGTGGATCTCATGGTCGATTAGCGCAGCGCAGCATATAGAGAAGCGCCAGCGATAGACGATAGTCTAAACTTTTGATACCACATCATGTAGTGTAACCATAGAGTACATATTACAGCCGAACCCAGCAATCATTACCATCCCATCCTCAAAACCCACATCTACAACCCCCGAACCGTCTTTTCATACACATCCCCCCGCCCGAAAACCCCCTAAACAACCCTCGCCTCCTCCCTCGGCGGCCTCTCGCCAAAGATTCCCGTCCCAACCCTCACCTCATCACTCCCCAACCGAATCGCGCCCTCAAAATCCTCACTCATGCCCATACTTAACTCCAACCCCTCGTCCCCCGCCAACCCCAACCCCTGCACAACCTCATCCCTGACCGCCCTCAACGCCAGAAAATCCACATTCTCCTCCCCCTCCTTCACCGCCCGACTCCTCGCAATCGCCCCGATAGTCATCACGCCCGCCAGCCGGAGGCCCGGACACTCCTCGCGGATGAAGCGACACAGCTCGACCGCGTCGCCGCCCGGCTCGACGCCGGACTTCTCCGCCTCGCCGGAGGTGTTGACCTGCACGAAGACGCGCAGCCGGGCCGCGTGGTCCTCCCGCCGCAGCGCGGGGGCGCGCTCGCCCCACCCCTTGTTCAGCAGCGAGGCCTTCTTCTTGCTGTCCACGCTCTCGACGGCCCACAAGCCGCGGACCTCCCGCGCCAGCGTCACGCATTTGTTCGACTGCAGGCCGCCGATGAAGTGCCATCGGATGGTCCCCGGCAGGAGCCGCGACTTCTCGAGGAGCTCTTGCTGGTAGTTCTCGCCGAAGTGCAGGTGGCCGGCGCCGGTGGGCGGGGCCGTGTGCAGGGCGAGGATGTCGGAGGCCGGTTTGAGTTTGGAGACGGCGACGAGGCGCGGTTCTTTGGGCTGGCTGGAGGTGGTGGTGGAGGTCGAGGTGGCGGCGGTGGTGATGCGGAGGGAGACGGTGGTGAGGTTGCTGAGGAGGGTTGCCGTGCGGGACGGGGTCGCGGTGAGTGGGGTGGCCATTTTGGAGTGGTGTTGGTCAGGCTCCCCGTGTGCTGGATTTGGGGGGGTTGTTGGTGCTGGTTTGTTCAAGAGGGGAGGGGTCTCGAGGTGATATTTGGAGAAGATGTGGTGGTGATGGTGATGCCCCGCTTGGGATGAGTCAGCGGGGTTTTCAGCTGGGTGCACGTGATGAGGGGTCTGGATTATGGGGATGGTGTTTAAACACTTGTTTGATGACAGAATTCATAGAGTAGCATTCAAAATGGTTTACGTCCTCAATGTAGGTATATTTATTCTGTTACCCTGTATTCTTGAGATTAACTCAAATTCAAGTGACAGATCGAGACTACACAGAAGATCCCCGACCGAAATATATAAAAGCTTGAAACTATTGAACTGCCAAAAGGTATCTACAACTGTTGTAAGAGTCAATCTCACCAGCCATTACACATCTAAACCCCCTCAATGCTTGAACTGATCCTCCGTCACGCCCTTGCCCATCGCCGCGGTGCTGCTAATACCGCCCGTCACCATCTTCAACATATTATCGATATAATTGGCACCACTCCACTTCTGATGCGTCACCACGTCGACGCCCTGCTCGATCTCGGGCTCCTGTACCAGCTCGCCGTACGCGCGCATGCCATGCTGGGCATAGGCCTTGGCGAACTGGTCCGTGATCAGCGCCGTGGTGTGCAGCCCGGCCAGGGTGATGAACTGCCAGCAGTATCCCTGGGCCCCCAGGCGCTTGATGTAGGTCTCCTGCTCGTCGCGGGGCATCGCCTTCTTCCAGTTGAACGAGGGGGAGAGGTTGTATGCTAGTCTGCGGCTCATGTTAGCACAGCTTGATCAACAAGAAAAGAAGTGTTGGCAAAGGACAACGTACTTCTGCTCGGGCCACACGGCGTGCACCCCGTCGGCGAACTCCTTCGCCTGCGCGTAGTCCGGAAGCTTGCTCTCCATCCAGATGAGATCCGCGAACGGGGCGTAAGCCACCGCCCGGTTGACCGCACACTGGGTGCCGCCCTTGTACCGGTAGAAGCCCTCGCGGGTCCGCGGCGCGTCCCAGTCCCAGTGGATGTCGACGCCGGTGATGCTCTTGGCGAGGGCGCGGGCCTCGCTGTTGCTCTTGCCCTTGACCTTGCGCAGGTAGTCCTCCGCCACGGCTTGCTTGTTGCTGTGCGAGCCCTGGTGGATGGCGTCGAGGACGGCCTCGTCGAACAGCTTCAAGCCAGCTTGAGCGGTCCATTGGTCTTCGATCGCCTGCAGATCATTGCCCGACTTGCCCGCTTGCTCGGCAGCGACCATCAGGTCGTTGAGCGGCTGCAGCTTGGGGTTGGTGGAGCCAATGATGAAGCCGTGGTCCCGGTAGTCAATGGTGGATGTGATGAGGGTGGCGGCCTCGGAGTCGGTTCGGGCAATGGCCAGGAGATCCGTGCCTGCGTTGCTCGCCGTTAGTCAAGTTCGTAACTCTGCGCGAAAGGCAGACGTACCCATAATATCGGCCTGGGCACGAATGGCAACCAGGCGGTTGATGTGCTCGCTAATAGGCACCAACACCTTACCGGCCATGTGGCCACACTTCTTGGTGCCTGGAGCCTGGTCCTCAATGTGGATACCAGCCGCACCCCGTTCGACGAACAGCTTGGTCAGCTTCATCACGGCAGTCAACCCACCATGGCCAGTATCAGCGTCCGCAATGATAGGCCGCAGGTAGTCGATGTTAGCCACCTTATGGCGCTGGTCCTTGGGGGTGGTGATGCGCTCCTCGCGTTGTTTCCGGTCGTGGAACAATTGGGCCATGAAGAGGTGGTTGACCTTATTAGGGACAGTGTTCTAGTACCTCACGTCAGCACGGGAACAAGCCCTTTCCATATGTCCCAAACCTACCATAGGATAATCCGCCAAGTCCGGGGAGGGCTCGTCGGTGGAAGAGGCAGTGGAAGAGCTTTGCCAGCCCGATACGTAGACAGTGTCGAGGTATTTGGCCATCTGGGTGACCATCGTGGGGTCGAGACAGCCATATGTGAAACTGGCCACTTTTTTCTGCAAGCACAAGGAGAATAGTTAGCTTCAGCTTCATTTCACATCCACCCCCTCCGAAGGTCTGGACTAACCTCAAAGTTGCTTTCCAAGATCTTCCAGAGCTTCTTGGCTTGCACATTGGATGGGTAGTCAATCTTCAGGTTTCCGCGCTTCGCCACAATCTGCTCAGCAGTGAAAGGGCGCTTGGTATGTCTCCATCGGGGATCCTTCCACCAAGCGTTGACGGCTTGGACGTCTTCCAGATACTTCTGGTCTTCGTCTTCGTGTAGACCCATAATGTGTGAGACGGGAGGGGTGGTGCGAGGGCAACAGGAGGGAATCAGGAAGCAAGCCGAGACAGTGTATGCAGTATAGCCAGTCTACTGATCTATAAGAACCGTGACCAGGGAAAGTAAGACAAGCAAGAAGAACGAAAGTCAAATTGGAGTGGAGAGTCCGGAGGGAAAAGAGGCAACGAGGAGACGGAGGGTAAGAGAAGGGTTAAAGTACTGATCCTCACAATCACGAGCCAAAGGGTCGATATTTAAGGCCCAGGAGCAGGAGCAGCAGATGCACACGCGCCATCGTCGGTGCGTCAGAGTCATTGACTTTGGGCCAGTCGTCGGTAAACGTTCGGATCAGCGGGACAAAAAGGGTGGTCGAGCAGACGCACCCGGCATGTCTCGAAAACTGGGGGAACTGGAGAGGTGGACAGGGTGGACAGGGTGGACAGGAATTACATGAGGAGGTGAATTAGGTTAACCGTGTCCCAGATTCACAAGTCATGGTCGGAGCCAAGGAGCAAGCTGAGTGGTCGGTGGATGAGGTTCGGGAGAGAGGATCACGTTCTGCTGAAGATCCTCGGTCTAAGGGGAGAGACCCTCCACCTTCCCCCGGGCCTGAGGCATTTCCGGGGCTATTATTCGGTCGCCACGCCGCGGCGATGGATGGTCCTTGGCATATTCGGGTCGGACAGCGTGGTTTTGTATTCTGGCATAGTAGAGGAGATCAATAATGACTTAGAGAGAGCATTGGACAATGCCAGAACCGGCTCTAGTAGTCGTGCTCTGAGAAGTGCCTGTTTCAATTTGATGCTGGGAGAGAGTAAGAGAGAGGAAGAGGAAGAGGAAGTATACGAGTGAGTCCATGACGTCGATGCATGTGCTTCCTGGGGGGGGGGGGGTAAGGGGGGGAAGGCAGGCGGAGGATCAGCTTACCATACCATACGCGTACTGCAGCCCAAGGTTGCAGGCATCAATACGAAAATTAACCTCGGTCCCGACTGCCTCTCGCCGGCCACACCCAGCCAGATCCTCTGACTCGTCCAGATCGACTTCGACGGCCTGCATATTCGACGGCCACGAAAAGCATCGTCGGGTATTCAAGGAGCTTCCTCCCGTGATCCCACGAAGTCCACGACACTCTTTGATGAGATCCACCAAGGTGCTTGCTTGGCCTATGATGAAATACTAATGAAACACTTCATCGGAAATAGACTGGCAACATTGAGTCAAACAGAAACATATTTCATTCTATAGTCTTTGGTCCAAGCAAGTATAATCAAGCCTAAAAGTGCCACTTCGAATCTGTTAGTCTCCTCGCTCAGTAGCATTTTCCCTCTGACGCATGCTTGTCTTTCGCAATCTGTGACAAGGTGCTCATGCTTGATACACACGGGAGTCCCTCGAGGCGCAAACAACTGCTAGAAGCAAAGGAGGGACGTTCAATTATGACTTGAGATGGACTCAGATCAGGTTTGCTTGGCAAGCGGGTAGTGTACGGAAGACAAAGACAGCAGCCAATGAGATCGGTGGGGCGCAATGGATTCAATGATAAGGCGGTAACGACAACTTGGTGACATTCTGCCGTTGCTGGGCCATAGATGGTCTTTTCAGCGCAAACAACAGACCACACACTGTTATCAATTCGATCTTATGTTAGCGTGGCTACACGTTCGTCAGTTCGTCCACTCAGGAACAATCCTGCGATTGCAAGTCTGCTCCCTCGTACCAGACATGCAAATGCCCCTCAGACATATACTATGCTCGTCTTGCTCAAAGCACAATGTCTCTGAACACGCTTCCCAACGAGCTACTTCTGCAGGTGGAATCATATATTGAAATGCAAACCGACCTCGCAGCACTAATTCAAGTCAGTCGTCGAGTCTATAAATTACTGGTGCCGTGTCTATACCGGCGTGATGCAACCGCCGCCTTGCTATACGAGGTTCAGAACGACCTCTATTCCATCGCCTGCAAGGCGCTTCAGGCCGGGGCCGACCGCAATGTCAGGTCTCGCGACAAAAGACGACCGGTGATCAGTCTCACAGCTGAGAATGGATCCCTGGAAATGGCCCGGCTTCTGCTGGGGGCGTCATCTCCGTCACCGTCACCGTCACCGTCCCCGCCACCGCCGCCGGTCGATCTTAATATGATTGACAAGAACCGATACACAGCCCTATTGCTCGCAGCAGCCATAGAACATGCTGCACTAATCAAGCTTCTCTGGCGCACGGGGCCGACCCAATAAGCGAGAGAAGGCGGGTCGCACTGCACTGTTCATGGCGGCCATCCGCGGCCACACGGCCGCCGTCCGCACTCTCCTCGCCTACCACGATGACCCCCAGCAACCGGAACTAGAGCTGGATGTTATCATCAAACATGGCGGGGAGACCGCGCTCCTAGCCGCCGTCGGCAGGACCACGCTGAGATCGTCACCATGCTCTTCGAACGCGGCGCTTCCCTGGGAACCAACGGCCGTAGCGGCCCCCAGCCCGTGCTGCACAGTGCAGTGCTTCACTGACAGCCCGAGCTCCTCCGACTGGTTGTCAATCGCGACGAGATTGACCTGAATCGAATCTATCAAGGCGAGACCGCCCTCGGCCTGGCGGTAGAGAGGAACGACGACCTCCTAGCGGCTATCCTGTTGGCGGATCCGCGTGTACTTCCTGATCTTACCTTGAATGATGGCGGCGAGACCCCGCTGATGCGGGCAATTCTGAAGAACAATGAAAGAATGACCCAGCTCCTGCGCGATGCCGGCGCCAATCCGCGGATTATGAATCGGTGATGGGTGTCGCCGGCGATGTTGCTGGAGGCTCCCTCGTGGGAGGCACGGCGGGAGTTGATCGAAAAGTATCTGGGCTCCGAAGTGCGCCTGGCGTGGAATTGCACGCTGGGATAGGCATACTAGGTATCTATAGATACCTTGGAGGGGACATATTTGCAGCGAAAGTCACATGATTCTGACAATCGCCACCTGGATCCAAGCTCAGTTACATGTACTATGTATGTACTGTACAGTTGGTCTACCCGAAACTGCGGGGTGCGGCAGGGGCAGACCCGGAGATGAATGTCCTCCGATGCATGCCACCCTTTTCGGCTGTACCCGTGACGGAGTATACTGTCCAGCGGAGCTGTGAGGCCTGCGGAGCACCGGAGAAATAGCATGTGAAAGTGCATGGTCTCACGCGAGCAGTCCCGCCTCTCAGCCGCGTGCTTCTCAATCAATAGAATGACTCATATCCGCCGCTCTCTTGGGCATGCGATAGCAATCTGGAGGGAGTCAGCTTTCTTCCCAATTTGCACTACTACAATATTGATTTCTTCGACGAGACACTCGATGCAAACAGTCTATACAGTCCAACGCGCTTTCACCAAAGGTGTTGCAAGGCGCCGTAAGTTATCTAAACCGTAGAAATCACGAGAAATATATTCCAAATGCTTTTAGTCAACTATTTCCAAAATATGTACCCGAAGCTTTCGTCTCCATATGCACAAAGCTGCACTTCTACTCCACAGGGGTGAAGTAACGCTTGAATCGGTCAATGCGAGTCAACTTCAGCTCCACAATGACCGAGTGGCAGCTCATCAGTAGACTGGGGAATCGCACAGTCCAGAAGTTTAGGTAGCCTTCCGGTAGCCCACCAATGTGCGCCTTGAGGTGTTCAGGCATGTCGTTGTAGTGGTTGCGCTTGTTGCGCAGAGCCCGCAGAAGATCGAGAACCTTGGATCCAGTGTATTTACGCTGCTTGCCCAGGTTTTCCTTGAAATCGCGGGGTAACAAGCGTAGGAAGTCCATGTCTGAACCCATCACACGCGAGGCAACGGATTCCAAACAAAGAAGGGCATCCGACGGAGGGTCACGTGGCTCGAACTCGAAATGATCCGAGACGTCGCACAGGAAGCTGAGGCGGTCGGAGGGAGGCCAGAAGAACGGATGAGTCAGAACGGCGCTCGCGTCGGGTCTGGAACCGGATTAGACTTGCTAGCAGTGGAGAAAGAATCAAGTGGCGTGACTTACCGTTTGCGTGGGTCCAGGGCTAACATCGATTGGATCAGGTCTTCTGCCTCGAAGGCATATTCCCCTAACCGCTGAAGCTCATCCAGATTGTGATTGCCTTTGACAATATTGGCCTCCCGCATGAATTTCCCATTCTTGTCGAACGGATGGCAGCCCCTGGTCAGCACGTAATAGAAGACGCAGCCCAAGGAGAAGATGTCGATAGCCCGAGTCGCTCGACGGTTCGTTTGAGGATCGACTACGGCGGGCTCGGAAGATTCAGTGTGCTGAGACTCGGTGCTCATCATGGCCGGGGTCATGTCCTCATCCATCAACAGCTCCGGCGCCCGCCAGCCAGAGGTACCTGCCGCATGTGCAGTAGTCGCGCGGAATGAGCTTTGGTTATCCTCCAATTTCTTACACAAGCCAAAATCGGAGATAAGCAACCGCAGCGAGCTCAGGCCCGTGCGACCGCGAGGCATCGCGACCAAGATGTTTTGCGGTTTCAAATCCCGATGAACAATCTTGAGAGAATGAAGGTACCGAACACCCGCAATGATCTGGCGCAAAACGTCGGGCATGTCCATGCCACCTTGAACCAACTGGGGAAAGTCGCCCGGACGTTCGACAACGTCCTGCAGCGAGGCTGGGCAGAGCTCCAGCGCAATGTAGAGAAACCCAGCAGCCTGTTCCCGACAGTAATACCGAATGACATTCCCGTGGTCATCACTCTCCTGCAGCAGGCTGACTTCGTGCGATGCAATGTCGTAGAATTCGACCAACATGCGCTTCACAGCTACGTCTCGGCCATCAAAAGACCCGCGGTAAACGACAGTGCCGTGGCTTCCATGTCCTAGCACCACCTCGGTGAAGACTTTGAGACGACCAATCTGGAGGACACCACCCACTTGAACAATCTCGTTCGACACAGTCCGGGTCAATTGAATATCAGGTTCCAGGCGTGACTGGGGTTGGAGATTGTTCACTTCCTCTACAACGCGATCTGCCTGATCGTTGGCCTCGCCTTCGGTGGGCTTTTTGCCACGTCTGTGATTCTTCCCGCCACGGCGTCCACGGCGAGCTTTCTTCTTCGGCTTCTCGCCGTCGCCCTTTTCAGATTCTTGAAGGTTGAAGTCGTCCACGTCATCATCGGCGTCGGGTCCTTGAGACGGCTCTCGGATGCGAACTCGAGGAGTCGTATCAGGCGCCAGGGTGTTGACGGTTTTTTTAGGCTTGGGGGTCATATCACCGGCAGACTGTTGCTCCTCAGAAACGCTCATATCAACCATGACCTCTGGTGCTGACCGGGTTTCGTCAACCTCTCGCTTGATATGAGGACCATCGATGACTGGGGTCGACGGCGTCGACAGTGATGGCTGCCCGTATGACACAATGATGTTTTTCAAGTCCAACTTCTGTTTGGCCAGTTCCTGGATATGATGCGAATTGAACCAGATGAAGGTACCGAAGAACAGCAAAAGGAGCGTGACGAAGATATCGACTGCATTATCCCAGCCCTTGCGGATGATGGTACTGTGCCGAAGAGCAGGCGGCAAGGCTATTTCAGACGAACTTTGGACGACCCCTCGAGGAGGGGTATCATTAGAGAAGTCTGCGGACGAGGGCCCCGAGATGCTTGGGATGTGGCGGCGAATGACACGAGGAGCATGGAGGGAGTGGACTCCGGCTAAGGCATCCTGCTGTTGACTTGTGGTCAAACTCGTCAACGGCTGCCCATGACGGAGATAGTCTTTCTTGTAACATTGTGCCATCTTGGCTCTCCCGGTCACGAGGGGGTAACTCTCCTCTGACATCGCATACCAGCCACCAGCCTCTGTGCAATCGATAAAGACGCGTGAATCGCGATCATCGATCGATCCATAGTCAGGATCAGGGGGTTGTGAAGGTTGCGAGAGAAGGACTAGCGGCGTGGGCTGATCAGGCGAGTCAATGCCAACCGGGCGAGCCACGTCGAAGACCCGGATGACGGGGCTCGAGAAACGTTGAGTATAGCGTGGGCGATCCATCTCAGAATGGTCGAATCCCAAGACCACGCCATCATGCATGCTGTAGATGAAGCTTTGGTCCATTGTGTTCACATATTGACTCTGGAGGTCAATGTCACGATTGTTGGCCGTCCACTCAGAGTATTTTAGCGTGCAAATGGGATCCCCCGTCTCTGTGTTTTGTATCGCTACCGTGTATTCTATGCGACCGAGCACCAAGGTGCCAGAAGGGGTCTCGCACTCTGCATCCCCATCCAGACCGTCAACCTTTCGACATTCCTGGCCCGATGAGACAGGGCCGCGGGAGCTGAACACCCGGAGAATAGTCCCCGATCGTGCGTCGATGGTATACAGAGTGGTCTCCTTCCGTGCCGTGTACGTAACGGCGGGGTCATCCCCGGAATAAGGTGTCTCATCGACAAGTTCCTTCACCGTCAACCCGAGTTTTTGTAATCCTGCATCCGGGCCAGGACTGTAGATGTAGAGGCTACCGCCCTGACTCGGCTCCACTATCCAGATAAAATCATCCTCCGGTTGTTGTCGATCGAAGCTCGAGCGGTTGGATCGGTGGTAGATACTTTCGACGGTAGGACTGCTAGGGACTTCCAAGGCCCAGCGAGCCGCACCGGTTTTGCGGTCACGAGCGTGAATGGAACCGTCGACGGTCGCCAGAAGGACAAAGTCCTCAACCTTCCAGTCCTGCAAAGACCGCGCGTGAAGCTGCGGAGCCAGCCCAGCGGAAGAGCTGCTGCTGACTTGGGCAGGAGGGGCTCGAACGGCGCGGCTAGAGCCCGCCAGAGCCATGGTTGCAAGGGCGCTCACATCGTTGGACTTCACATCCGAGACGTATGAAGGATTGTTTCCCGCTGGGGGTCCGTGGGATTGCTGCAGGACGGAAACAGTAGAAGGAAGGTCATATTGCTGTTGAGGATGTCGTTGTTGTTGCCACTGCTGCGGAGTAACAAGAACTGGAAGCAGGAGAAGTGCGACACTGGAAGGAAGGGTCGACTGGGCGCCAGGCAGCCGCCACCGCATGCTGAGAAACTCCTATGATGATAAGAAATGGATTTGGGAGAATTGTGGGGGAGGGGGGTTTGTGTGGACGAGAGTGGGAGGATTAGAAAGGGTGTGGTGACACGGAGAGTGTCATGAGTCGAAGCTGGCCTCAAAGAGGTGGGAGAAGTGGATAAGAAAGAGAAATAAGAATGGGGATAGAGAAAAGAAGAAGATGATGATGAAGAGAAAGAAAGGGAGATGAGATTCAAAGACAGGGAGAAGAGAGGAGGGGGGGATGGATTATTGAAATTGAAAAGAAGGAGGAGGAATTGAGTGGATGCATTGGATGACAGGGCGGGAAGAGGGAAGGAGCCCAGGTGGAATGCCCGCAGTGAATAGGTCGGTGGTTGTACTAAGTCAGTTAGCTGCCGCCTGCTGGGCACGTGATGCATAACTGCTAGTTGTTTGTTACAAGTACAGTCACTTACAACTTACGGCTGCTCACTGCTGACGCGTTTGCGCCAATTGCATTGCCTCCCAGCCCCGACCGGCCCGTCAGCCCTAGAACGGCAAAGTGTGGATTGAAATGAAAGAAATGGATGAAATGGATGGAATGGGTGGAATGGGTGGAATGGGTGGAATGGATGGGAATTGTGGAGGTGATTAGCCCGCCCGCTCCACGGACGGTCCGGAAGATTGATACTCATTTGGGCCTAGAGTCTCTGTCTGATACCAAATCCGATTAAGGGGGCCAAAAGGAACCTGGTCTAGTGCGGGCTATCACGC